GTCATTGTTGATGGGAGATGCTCAGGTAGCTGTCTCACACAAGGAAATCAGTATTCTATATTGAACAGTAATGTCTTAGTTTTACGACCGCCCTCTACCTGAGCTTGGACCTCCAAAATAGGATAGAGACCATGTAGGAACGAATGGTAGGAGTTACTCGAAGTACACTATTGGACCATACAAAAACCTCCACAACCACCACCACAATCACCTTAACCACCACCACTACCATCATCATCATCATCATCATCATCGTCATCATCACCATCATTATCGTGACCTTTATCATCATCACCACCGTTATCATTAGCAGCATTATCATCATCACCACCAAACCTTTCACCACCACTGACACTACCATCATCTTCATCATAACTATTTTCATCATCATTATCATCATCGTCATCATTTTGGCGGATTTTATTTTCTGAGCGATCCCAATAATTTCAGACGGGTGGAGATTGGCGAACGGTGGACTCAGATGACTCAAATACAAAACGGAAGCTCTGGGGTTTTAGGTATTTAAGTACGGTGAGATGAGCATCCAGGGGCCCTCTTTAAGGCCATTGACGTGTTCCAGGGGGAGCCCCCAGAAGCTCAGAGGTTTCAATATCTAACTACGGTCAGATGAGCATCCAGGGGCCGCCGTTAGGGCCCTTGGTGGGGTCCAGGGGGCAAAGCCCCCCGAAGCTCAGGGGTTTTAGGTATTTAATTACGGTCAGATGAGCATCTAGGGGCCCGCCTTAGGGCCCTTGGTGGGCTCCAGGGGGCAGAGCCCGCGGAAGCTCAGGGTTTCGGGTAACTCATTACGGTCAGATGAGCATCCAGGGGTCCGCCATAGGGCCCTTGATGGGGTCCAGGGGGCAGAGCCCCCGGAAGCTCAGGGGTTTTAGGGACTAATTACGGTCAGATGAGTATCCAGGGGACTGCCTTAGGGCCCTTGGTGGGGCTCGGGGGCGGAACCCACGTAAGCTCTGGGGTTTTAGGCATTAATTTAATTACCTTTAATTACCTTATTTGTAACATTGGCAGGTCACTTTTTTTTTCTCTCCGTCTTTTTTTCTTTTTCTCCCTAACATACTTTTTCAAAAAGTGAGGGGGCGGCCCGAGCCCAGCCACTTTGCAGACCATGACATAAAGGCTTCGATTTTTCGCCCGACTGTAGTTTGGGAATTTCTTATTTTCCAACAAACGCATAAAAAGGTATGACTTACAAAAAAATGGAGAAAAATACCGGAAAATCAAGTCATAACAGCAACATTTGTAAATCACTGGTATCGAATAAGAAATACACCCCCCCCCCCCCCATCAGTACGCCAGCGTTCAGGGGCTCGTGTCTTCTCACCCCTATAACAAAAACATACACGCTTTCCCATTCTCAAAAAATATGTCCACGATATGCGCGTATCGCTATTATAAAGACTTCCATTGATAAATACCGTATAGGTGGCATGCGCAATGTTTATGAAATTTAATTCCTGTGAACTTTCCGTTTCTTTGAATGGAATTGTATATGTGATTGAATTCAGGTTTTTATTATTGTTATGTTCTTTTGGGTTAAAAATACAAACCATGTTTACTCCTATACTGCTTCTTTCTTTTTTTTTGGAGGGGGGGGGGCGTTTTGGGGGGCAAAAATGCGTTTTGCCCCCGAACATTTTTGATTGGGGGGGGGGCAACTGCCCCCTGCCCCCCCCCCCCCCCCCACTTCCGGCGCCTATGCTTGTAACCGACAAGTCACCGCATTCATTTTAAACTGAATATAGTGTTCAACAACATGATAGTGGATAATACTGTCTAAAATTGTAATCAATCAACGTCAACGAATTGATTTATCATCCCTCTATAAATAATTATTTCACATTTTAACATTCCTGCATTCATTTCCATCACGAATGAACAGTTAGTAGGTATTTTTAATGTTCGTTTTGTTTAATTTCCTCCCCATTTCTTTCTCCCTGCTTAATACTGATAAAATGTTCAATTTGTCTTTAATAATCAAAGCCAAATATTATATTCATATTTTCTTTATGCACGAGAGAGATAGAGGGAGAGGAAGAAAGAGAGAATATATTAACTGACAATAATATTGTGTACAACTATGAATTGCATCCTTTTCAATATGATATCATTCGCTGCAAATATTCAGAATCTAAATATGATAAATCCACATAATACACCAACGCTGTTAACCGTATCCATCGTTCCAACCATAGACCATAATGCCCATTCACCATATTGCTCAAATATGGAGAGTTTCCATGAAACTTGAAATTTGAATTTATAAAAACAAAATATACCATGCTTCAGTTGAAATTATAAACTCTCTGTGACTGGCTTAGCACTATAGTTTCTGAGGGACCAGTCACTGAAAATCCATAATTTTACAGGTGCCTCGAACAAAGTACATGGTACATTTGATGTATATTCTGAAAATGAAAAACTAATAATGTAAACTATAAAGAAATACATTATAAATCAATTATCAATTTACATCTTTGTCCAAAATACATATACCCCCCCCCCCCCGCTCCACACATACACACACTGTGCTTGTAAAGGGAGTTGCCCATTCCACAGTGGCTGCGTTTGTTTATTGGAGGATTGATTTTGTTGTTGTTATTGTTGATTTGAAATGTTTTTAATACTTTTTCTCTCAACAAGCAAAATCAAATAATACATTAATTGCATAATTAAGATACAAGATTGTGCAAAATTATATTACATAGAAATGAATAAATTGATAATTATAACCTTATCAATACATGATAGCTTACAACAAATGTATATATGAGCACTGATTTCTTATTAGGTTTCCTTTAGAACTGACAAAGCATACTTCTGTTATTATGAGATAAAAATTGATCATACAATCGTGTAGTCATTAGAAAATGAAAAGAACCTAAATCGTTACAGAAATGACAATTTGTAAACGGAACAAAACGAGGCGAGAGATGTATAGTTCGCCTCCCTGTTCTAGCTTGTCTCACACACTCCCCTTCTCACAGAATGTAGTTGTCCTTTCCACAGTGGCTGCTGTGTTTTTGTACTGGGGGGGGGGGGGTATTTTTGTTTATTATTGATTTGGATTGTTATTCTATTCTTTTTCTCTCTCAAACAAAAATCGAATACATTAATTGCACAAAAACAAAAATAATGCAAAATTACCGTAGATCTACAATCTATCATAGATAATCCATATATGACGTGCCGGGTTTGTCGGCAATGTTGCTTCGTTTGCTTCTCTCTACCCAGGTGTTTAAAGGGTACTCTGTATGATGCTTACGTCATGTTAGTTTGGTCAGTATTGTGCACGTCTGTAAACTGGCGCCTGACTGGAATGTTCCCAAGGGAGAGGAGAATGTGGATATATATATTGTGTGTGCGGGCAAGCCTGAATCTGATGATTCTAAATCTGAATCTGTTCTGATCCGAGTCCTGACCTTCGGGTTCTAGGACTATTACTCCCTGGACAATCACCCCTGATCAGAAACCAGCGGGACAATTGTCCCCAAAGGGCAATTACCGAAACAGAGAATTATCCCCCGGGTAATTAGAAGAAGAAGAAGAAGAAGAAGAAGAAGAAGAAGAAGAAGAAGAAGAAGAAGAAGAAGAAGAAGAAGAAGAAGAGGAGGAAGAAGATAAGAGGATAATGGAGTGGATGAATAGGGAATCCTAATAATGAGATGCACTTTAGTGGGGAGAGAAGGAGACGATAAGGACAAAGAAGAATACAAAATAATAAGAAGAAAAAAGGAAAAAAGCTAGAAGGGAAAGGATATATTAATAATTTGACGGTTATGGGAAAAGGAGAGAAAAGAAGAAGACGGAGAAATAGAAGGAAAAACAGAGAAAGATAAACGATGATGAAAATAATTATTCTTTCTGAATCCACCACCACCACTATCACCTTCACCACCACTTCCATCATCATCATCAACACTATTATCATGATTATTATCATCATCACCCTCATCATTATCAGCAGCATTATTATCATCACCACCAACCCCTTCACCGCAACCGACACTATGTTGATGATGATGATAATGATCATCATCATCATTATAACTATCATCATCATTATCATCATCGTAATCATCATTATCATTATTTCATCATCGTCATCATCATTATCATTACCACCACCACAACCACCACCACGTCCATTATCATCACTGATTTTTCAAGTAACACAGTTCAGAATCTGGCCAATTTTATATTCTGAGTGATCTTCAATAATGTCAGACGGGTAGCGATTGGCGAACGGTGGACTCAGTTGACTCATATGACAAAATCGGGATAGCGCCATCTTCAATAAAATCAGTCAAGTTTTGGAATCTTACCACTACTACATGTACATCCACAACTCATACGACGACCACGACGACCACTACCAACACTTCCAACACTACCACCACCACTATCGCCAACCTCGTCACCACCAGCATCACCACCACCACCACTACCGTCACCACCTGCACTACCACCACCACCACAACAACAATCACCACCATCACTAGTACCATTTTTGTTTGAGACACCCCTTACAAAGATGAGCTAAATAGTTTTCTGAAGAAAAAAATTCGAAAGAAACTCCTAACCTTGATATATTTTGCCAGGATTAATGTTCACATGATACAGTCGCTATCTAACGACCACTTTGCCCATGTATTAAAATGAATAATACTAATGTAGTGAATTATAATCACACCTCGTCCTCTCTGATATCAAACAATATCTTGTTCATCATAGTGGTCCTATTTTAAGATGATATCACATCCAAGGAAGGTACATGTACTCCCGCCTTTAAATAGAATAGTTACTATCAATATTATGACGTCATTCAAAATACATTTCATTACTTCTCCTCGAATATATGAGCATAATTATTGGTAGTTTTGGCACTTACGACGCTCAAAGATTCAACATTTTAAACACATTTATTTTCTTCTCATTTATTAATTTATTTCATTTAAACAAAAAGAAAACAACTGGGAAAAGTATTGATAAAATAAAGAAAAGAATTGCAATGGCAAAGAAATATTTAATAGGATCTGTAATTAAAAATTAGAACATTACTATGAAAAACAAATTCGTGTCTTAGTCGGTTCTTTTGTACGAGTGTTAAACAATAAACAAAGTGCTTGAAAGAAGATTAGATTAGATTAGCTGCCGAGACCTATATTCTTGAGAAAGATTATGAATATATCATAGAAAGAAAAGAAAACAAATTAGGAAATGTTCAGACAAGCAAGAGTAAAACCATCACTCATCGACACAATAAGAAATATTCAAATGCAATTTCCTTGTGACATATACAAAGAGGATAATCTAGATACAAGTAGAAACAAATATTAACAGGGAATTTTGATGGAAAGAGAAGCAGGGGACGACAACGCCCTATATTATTTGCAAAGCCTGCACAAATGGGCAACTAAAATGAGATAAGAAATACCAGCTTTTTAATAATATCACATAATAGGCAGAAATGGAGGGCCATGACGGCCGATATCTGTAACACACCCGGCACTTGATGATGATGATGACGATGAAGATTTCCTACTCGCATCAAATGAATACGAAAATAATATGTTCATTGTACAGAGGAAAAATACGAGATTGCAGTGGACGTGGGTAGCAAACCGCATAATAAAGTACAATTGTAATGCAAATCCAGAACAATGAGTGCCATTGTGATTGCTTTAGCTATATTATGAAATGCTCTTTGTATGTTATCTACTTTAGAAATATCGAATCCCAAAATAGTAAATCTGACAATTCTTACAATATTATATTAAATTGGTATTTGTTCAATATATATAATTTTGTATTTTTATAGCTACCTGTCAATCACTTCGAGAAAATTACAATAACAAATAGACATGGTATATCAGATTAGGCATCAGAAGTTATGATATAAATGTTTTTTAATCATTTAAAATGTTATTTATTTATTTAACATTCATGGGTTGTATACTTGTATTGATATTGTCAGCTAATAGATGTTTTTAAAAGGAGCCCAAGTGTAAGAGAAAAATATGACTCGAGGGAGAGAGAGGGGTGGAGAAATAGAGAAAGGGGAGAGAGAGAGAGAGAGAGAGAGAGGGGGGAGAGAGAAGAGGGAAACTAGAGGGAAATGGTGTTTGTGAAGTAATGCCATTTTTTCTAGCTTGCAAGGGATATTGAATTCATAATGAATACTTAAAAATATAATATTACATCGATGTGATGGAGGGATGGAGGCAATAATGTTCCTCTTAATCTACACAGTTAATCCTTCGTTGTATGGACAACGATGAAATGTGTATCATATGTATTGCAACCAAGACTATATTATTATAAATGGTCCTATACCACTACAAAATATGTGTGCACCATCCTATACTGTTATTTCGTCGTCCAAAGTATATCGTGATATAAATATCAATAACAGTGTCTATAACACTCAAAATTTACACTAAAATAACGAACATTGAAATATGTATATTGAGAGTAAACGATTGACAAGTGAAATGCTAAATTGTTCAATGATATCCTACTACCTATAATTCTCTATCTCTCTAAATACTTTTGTATAATGGTCTATGATATCGCTGGTGGAACAGTTGTTGGTTTATAGTCTTCAAGCACACACTCTATTCGAAAACTATACAAATTTTTCTCTGCTCGAAGTTTACATAAGCTTGACAACTTCCGTATTCTAGTAACAGATACAAAATAAGTATTGTAAATATTCCAGTGTCTATGAAAGTATAGTCTAAGTTCAGTATAGCTCATATCCTGTATTATGTGATGTGGTTGCCAAGGTGGAGCGTCGGCAAACTAACAGATATTACGTTCAAATTATCTCATCTGCAATTAATATCTAACCAATAACCAAAATGCATGTTAATAACTATAATAGTATAGGCCTACACATTCTATCAGCATTAGCTAAACATAAATTGATATAAGGCTAGCTCTGAGCACTTTCAATCATTATAATCACTTTAATCAGCCATTTCTAGCAGGATTCTAGAAGCCAGGATCGATGGAGTATTGTGGGTTTCTACAAACGCATCTTGATCCCCGGGCGCACTTCTCTCCGTTATATTTATAACATCCCATACGACCACAACACGGAGTCTTACCAGTGGGGCTACACGAATCTCCTTGGGGTACACAGGTCTGTCAATCAAAAAGAGTGAAACATTGAAATAAATATCGACGAATGACAACTTCTTGTGTTGTATTAAAGCAAGATAATAGACTTTGAATTGAATTTATGCGTAATCAAGGATTATAAAAAGCGAGTTTATTATAAGACGTTAGGAACAACACCAACAACAAGTTGATAATCGTTCAAAATGGCATTCTTGCCCTATTTAGTATTGTCGATTTCTTCTTATTCGCTGCTGTGTAAGCAGCCCTATAAGGTTTACAATCTTGCATGGACAATAGGAAACGATCAGTTAAAGCCCCACTGCACTACTTATAGCTACTTGCGCCCTCTATACATCCAACAATGCTTTAATAAGCGGTGCCCGTTGATCCCCCATAAAGCCCTTTTTCTTATGTCAATTGAGAGCTGATTTGATGAGATAAACACTTGCCAATGACCTTGCAGTGAGGTCCAATCCCTCCATGCCAAAGTAGTGCAGAGGGATTTTAAAGTAAGATTATGACAGAACAAAAGTAAAAGCGAAATGAGCTGATGATCACAAGGCGGCAGGCGAGGAAGATATATTAGAGGTCAGTGAGTATACAAATGATGCACAGGTTTGAGTGCGTCGGTAAGGATTGTGTGCATAAGGTACCTTTGAATGGTTTTAGACCAAATTCAAAGGTACCGCGTGCACACAATTCCACCGACCCACGAATTAAACATGTGCATTATCTGTTTTATAAGATGGGGCCCCAGAAATTGTAAAAAATACAAAATTTTGTTATTTTACAGATTTACCGGATGCATGGTGAAATCATGCGTCCAGTAATTACCGGACGCATGATTTTTTTTTTTTACCGGACGATTACCGACGATTTTTAACTTATCATGAAATTAAAAAAAAAAAAAAAAAAAAAAAAAAATTATAGATTTTATAAATTTTTTAAATAAATTTTAATTATCAAAAAACACGAAAAACAAACAATTATCACCAAAAAAAATTATCAAAAAAATCATTAAAACAAAAAATATTTAAAAAAATTATTAAAAAAAAGTTTTAAAAAAAAAAGAAATTAAAAAAAAAAGGATATCGGTGGTATCGATCGCCGATATCGTGTGCATCCTATGAAAACAACAAAAAAAATCCAGTAAAAATAACTACATTGACCAATCAGATTGCAGGGATTCTTCTACCCATCTCTTAATATATATATATATATATATATATATACTCACGTATATTGGTCTGTTGTATGTAGGTTTACTGGCTCTCCTGTTTTGAAAATAGGCTTCCAATATTTTTTTGATAGTCGATGGGGAGGCAGACTGGAATTCCTGAATACAAAATGAAACCATGAGAATGTTACAGTTCTACTTGTAAAATATGTTTTAATTTCAAAAGAACGCATTTCCTTTACCTTTTATGTAAGGAGGGGAGGATGTTAGCAAGAAACGTTTGACGAATAGACTGTAACGGTACAAGGGTTATTAAATGAATGAATGAAGAAATGAAAGAAGGCCAGTTGCAATGATTATAACGCAGGTATATAAATCGTTTATCACTTCTTATTTTCCGTATGTTATTATCTTTATTAGAAGACTTACAATACAATTATTTTTAAACAAACTGACTACTATATTAATGGAGAGGAGTGGACATCTATTTTAAAATGATTCATATTAGGGGCATTACGCATAGTGCGTATAGGCCTAGTCCACAACACAAAAGTGATCGAATATCTTTCGCGTGGATTTCCATTTCAAAAGATTCCAGTACATTTATACAATACGTATTAAAAAAGGACGCTCTTTGAAAATATGTTCTGAAATTATAACTTCATTATAATTATCTGCATGATTTTTATTACATAATTGCGAGATTTTCTTAATTAGCCAGTGGTCACTCAGGCGTAAACTATTGTCAATTCTTTAAGTGCAATCCGATTTAATAGACCTTAAAATTCATCCATAATCTCTTAAGGAAAAATCATGCAGATATGCTGAAAAGATAATTTTTGAGGATTTTTCTTGAATTTCCCATTTTTAATAGCACTTTGTATACGCACTGTAGAGTACAACCATCGTATTTTACCTCGACGTCTAGTGTATCTCCTGATGTCCTTACACACCGCTTAGCTGCCACAGCACCATGGTATGTAGCTAGTACACACAGCATGACCAGCGTCAAGCATGTAGTATATACTCTCCATGTGACCGGCGCCATCGTATATGTCACGTGATGAGTATGGAATCTACCAATCAAATGGTTCTAAAGGTGGATAAAAAGACAAGGGTTTAAAGAAGTCATAAAACGATGTCAAATATCAAGGAGGGGCTTATATCAAAACGAGAAAAAGATTGAGCGATGGAAGGGATGTAAACAAAAAAATGTTGTTGATTACGGAAGGGGGTAGAGGCATGTTTTAAAATAAATAAAACAAAATTGAAGTCAAATTGGGATTTCTGGGATCCAAGATCATAAAAAACTTTAAAAGATGAAGTAGAACAAACATACACCGAAAGATGAGAGTGATCATGCCCTTTTTCATCTCATATTTTCCATTTTGTTGCATGTATAGTGCATCGTCACCGCCATAATTTTCTTAGAATGACAGAATAAAAGACAAAGGCAATCTGTAAACCACCTAAAGGCACGTCTTAAGTTTTGACCGAGTCATTCATCATCAAGTGAGATGACCACCCTAAAGGGAAGATTTACAAACACAGGTACATAGTGTAAAACTATAACCGCTTTTTTTTAACAATCAATTATTCATTTGAACATTTAGTTTTTCTTGACGCACAGCGATCCCTAAACCGCCCACAAACGTAATTTACATAATTCGAGCTATTTCCACAACTCGAGTGTCAATCGGCCCTCCGATCCGCGTTGCTACTCGATCGCCGTACGGACGTCTGCTTTCCAGCATGAAGTGACCATTAGATGAAGTGAAGTACCGCATGGACACGAAGAAGAGCTTTCAGCGAATGAATACCACGGACCTATTTCAAGATAAGACTGATATTATATTCACCCTAGGGCGTTCTTGTTTTCTCATAACTAATACACCGAGGAGTACTTTTAATCAAGGTTTCTGCTGATAAAGATGTTACCTGCTTGGACACAACCCATGTCAGGAAGGGCATGGAGGGGTCAATGGAGAGTTGAAGTCACAACCACCAACATCAGCATACGAGGCTAGGTAGGGGCTGGGGTCTGGGGGCTGCAGCCCCTTCCCCTAAAACTTTGAATTAACAATGTTAATTGGGTCAACTGTTACCACTTGTTCAAAAGCGTAATGGTCTTCTCACAATTGTTACATCTTTCTATGGTTTGGTTTGTTTTTATTTTCCGTAAAAAATTCAAATACATACAAGAATACAAGCTACAAATAATACAAATCAAGAATTAAAAAACGGCTGGAAAGCTCTATTCAGAGCCATTTTTAAAATGACTCTGTTCTTCCTAGAGGTCTTCTTAGAGGTCTTGGTAGATATATTATTTGAAAGACAAATTACGTTTTTTGTTTTTATTTTATGCGAACAAATTGAGACACTATCAAACGTTGACATTCAGACAACAGACGTCATCCCTATATACGTCTACGACCAAGAATACGAGAATATCCAGGGCCCATAATTATCGTCTTTCAAATCTGAATTACAAATAGTCTGACGTAAATGAAACATGCGCCATTCATATTACATCTCATTGGATAGAACAAATGAATCTTTCATCATATGAAATTATTATATCATCACTACTGATGACCTACATGTATAATAGCCAACGTTACAATTTTCGTTAAGGCACTTAAATTTAAATTGCAAAACATAATTGAGAAGGACATCTAATACACTTTCTTTAATGGTTGCAATCTCTGATCTTGTAAAGTGAATGATAAATACATTCATCGATTATGATCCGGTAACCATGTTTCGTTTAACCCACTTACTACAAAGAGGTAACTGAAAGAATCCTAAGCATAACAGGGGCCGGGGAGATTTCGGATTTGAATCCAGATTGTGCCCAGTTATTTTGTTGTAGAAGTGTAGGTCATCGAAAGGGACTTAATTTGATTCAGGTAAATTAGATATCCGTCACTCCGAACCACTAAACAGCAATCGATTGAATTGTGATACTGATTTTAATAATTTAAGCGAAATCAAATTACAACATTTTATATTGTTATATTGTTATTGTTTTGCATTTTTTGATGGCATATTTCACTCCCAACTAATCAGTGCAAAATGAACATTGTTGCCTTGATAAAGAACAGAGGGTTATCAATAAAATCAACGAAATGGCATAAATATTCATAATTGAATGATAAACGCAAATAAAACTATTGAAATTTGTTGTTTAAAAACAGTGTTAAAACAGCAATCATTTCGGAGCATTTTCTAGTTCCTTAAACTCACAAACCCTGTTTTCCAGGAATTGTGACATCTTGAAATTGATTGTGGCTGTAGCGAGGTCGACTACAAAGATACATTCTGGGACAAAGGTTTCTACAGGAATTTGTAGCTTTTATTGGAGTAAATCTTGCTTCATTGTACTCATACAATAATTTACATTGTGTTATGATCTGTATAATCTATTAAAATAATCACAATTACTATAAATAGCTTAGGAACGCATGACCCCCCCCCCCCCCCCAAAAAAAAAAAAAAAAAAAAAACTAGAATTTAATTCGTCACGAGGACGAATAAGGTGGTCTGCCTTCAAGTTATATAGACATGTAAACAATGATGATCATCATGATGATCATGATGATGATGATCTTGATAGTAATTGTGATGACGAATATGATGATGATGATGATCATGATGATGTTGATGATTATCATCAACAGACCATGATGACATCAGACTGAAAAAAATGAGAGAACATTGAGATAGTATATAGTCTCAGCTACAACATACTCAAAAATCAACAAAAATCAAGCCGAAATAACGGCGATATTGCTCGCAAAAGACAAGAATGTAGAATCCAGATTTGAGAAAAAGTCATCTCCCATAAGGATTACACGCAAAAAGTAATGGATCAAGTGATAATAGGGTAATAATAAAGTAAATATGGTTGTTTATTACATTATTTGCGATTGTATGTGTTTTAATATTCAAAGGAGATGGTACAGTGAAAGGTCAAAAAGAAAAAAAAGTGAAGAAAAAAAATTGTTGGAGACGCCCCACAGTGGGCCAGAACCGCCTCAAAGTGTGCCAAAATTAATTTCTCATTGAAGAAGGTTAATGAAGTTCCTGGTTAAAGTATCTAAGGGGTTTTCGGACCCATAGAATTCGATGGGAGTATTTTCAAATCCGTGTGACGTCATCAAAATACTGTTTTCTGATTGGACAAGGCAAATATTCATTGTAACGCATAGACAGATTCATATTACACTGATTAGTGGAACTTATAAGGGGTTTCTGGACCTAAAAAACACAATTGGAGCATTTTCAAATTTCTCTGACGTCATTAAAATACAGATTTCTGATTGGAAAAGGCCAACATGCATTGTAACACATAAACAGATTCATATGACACTGACTAGTGGAACTTATAAGGGGTTTCTGGACCTAAGAAACACTATTGGAGCATTTTCAAATTTCTCTCACGTCATTAAAATACAGTTTTCTGATTGGAAAAGGCCAACATGCATTGTAACACATAAACAGATTCATATGACACTGACTAGGGGAACTTTTCAGGGGTTTCTGGACCTAAGACGCACAATTGGAGCATTTTTAAATTTCTCTCTATAAAATTGTCCGGCATCAACTATTTTTAGTCCACTATTTTCGTATTTACAAACTACTTGTTTTCTGTTTATTGTATCGGGTTTCCCTTTCCATATGAATTTAAAGAATGAGACATCGATTGATTTCAGAAGATGTTCAAAGGGATTTGGAATATAATCAAATAAATGATTATGATTTAAAAATATGAAATACCCTTGAACGTTTTATAACGTTTTTGCCATATCTCTATGTATGGGTCCTTTTGCTTCTCATTACGAGTCACTGTCTGGAGAATCATTGTCTTGAATGACCCGAAAGTCTTTCAGCATCTCTTGGACTTCACGTGGCAGGGTTCTTGGCTGTGGAGTTTTAAGTGATAAAAGACTGATGGCAACATCGCCTGTAACCATAAGACGGTGGAACACGTCACTCATATTGTCTACTCTTGATGTCTTTCTTGCAAATTTCCTTCTGTATACCTTGTTGTCCTTGTTTCTGGCTTCTTGAGCTTCTTCGCTCATCATCCCGATCGGTAGAACTGAACAAGCAAGAATGGTAGAGCCGTGAAGCAGCAGTACATGCACACTCACAGGCATTTTATACCATGGGTAGAGTTGTACATAGATTTCTGCTGTTCTGCGACAATAGTCTCCAAATCGTACTGGATTTAGAGAGGATTTGCAAGAAATTGCTACTAAGATCATGTGAATCCTATGTACTAAGTTCAAATCTAACCCGCAAATGTCAGCAAAGGTGTCCTCCTCTTGGAATGCTCTGCGTGCAGTGTTCCCATCGTTTGTATTTCCCGATCCTTGTTTCGGTTCATCTACTTTAAGACCCATTTCCTCTTTGAAGCGATCGTGTATTTTCTTCTTCTGAGCAGCGACGACAGCTTTGTCATTTTCAGTTGAAACACGCCACTTTTTAATCGTAATTCTGTAAGCAATGTGAATACACATCTCAAAACATCTGATCCATTTATGTAGAGGTGAGAGTCCATAGCTATAAGCTTCCTCATTTGACGCGGAGGGAAGTTTCTCTATGTCATTGAACTGTTTGGGAGTAGCCCCACAGACATAGCATCGCATAGATGACTTGGTTTCTGTCAGAGCATTCACGACTTTCTGATCTACCATGGTGAAGTGCAATTCATAGTTAATCTGTATGTTGTCGTTCCTATTTAGATCTGCTGCCAGCTCATAATCAATGTCCAAAGATACATTCATAGGTTGCAATTTCTTGATTTCATCTTGAACAGATCTATACTCTTCCTGAGAGAGTTCAGTTGTTTCTTTCTTGAATTGAAGATGAATGGGTCGGCAAAATCTTGACGAAGAAGGAACCGGATTTTGCCACAAAATACTGTCTTTTACCTTTAATTGCAGCGGAACTAGAGTAGTGCAGAATATGCTGCTGTCATCCAAAGTACCTGCAGTAGAAAAATAAAATTATTATGTCAGAAATGCATAATTGTGTACAGCAAACATGAATTCAAAATAACTTTAAAATTTCATCAGAATGAAACTT